TTTCATTTTTATTTAAACTTTTATTTTATAAATATAAATCCAATCAGAATGCTAACAAAAAGCGCCATCACAATTATTAAAGATGATCTACAGGTCGATAACGGGACTGAATCCGCCGTCTTGTGGAAATAAGGCTCCTTCATAATCTAAATAGAAACATCATCCCGGTAATGTCCCCATGTGTCCGTCCTATTTCACCCTCCCCAGGTCCGGTGGTCCTGAGCAGCTCGGCCCAGCTTGTCGCCCCTGTCCTGGTCGCCCGCGGAACTCTGTCCATCACCACCTCTGAGATCTACTTTGAGGTGGACGAGGATGACCCTGCCTTCAAACGGGTCGACCCGGAGGTAAGTAACCTGCATGGAGCGGACGGAATGCTTTCTGTTGTTCTTCCTGTAAAGGAAACAAAAATCCTGCTGCACTCGATTATTTATTCGCCGTTTTGACGATATTTTGTTTTGCAGAGAGAAATCCGAGTTTGTGTGTGTGTGTGTTATTATTATTATTATTATTATTATTGTTATTTGTACTTTTTTGGTTTGCGTGCGCTTTTAATTTTTATAATTACTAGGTTACTCCTCAGATAACTTCTCAAGCGCATATTTTAAGCCAGCTATGGTTTATTATTTAAAGGGGTTTGCATTTTAAAGAAAACATACACGGGTTTACAGATATTAATTTTTTTATGTATTGTAATTTTTTTCCATACTATTCATATTTATTTTTAATAAATGTTTAAATATGAATCGCTCTGCATTATGCCTTTGCATCAGGCCTTCTAGGCTACCGTTCAGTTGGTATTTTTTTTAAAAAAGTGGGGGACACAAGTATATGAAACAGCTCGTTTTATTATCTCTTTAAATTAGATCAAAGACAGAAATAATAATAATAATAAAACAGATCACAGATGTTATAATCCAGTGTATTTCAAGTGCATTTTTTTTCGAATTAAACTGTAATATATATATATTTATATATATATACCATATATAGGCTATCATTTTCTTTTTTCTTTTTTTTTAAATCACGTTGGCCTATAAGGATGATGAAGGAAAAACAACTCGAGTACTTTTAAATAATCATTCAAGTAACGCGATGGAATGTTTTAGATGTAACAAATGTCGCACGCTTACCATCAAAATGTAAACTCTTTAAAAATAATAATAGAAAATGTCCATTGAAACAGGTGAGTCAGACTACCACTGATGCAAGAATAAATTAAAAACGTTTCTAGCAGATAAAGAAAAAGTTCAGATTTAAACAGGTGGATCCTATTTACTTGTCACAGAACAACATTCACAATCTCAGATCACTTGATTCACAATCTATGAATGTATTTACAGTATAATAAAATGTACAGATGTGTGTGTTTATTTATTTATTTATTTATTCATAGTTTGCTATGGGGTTGTATTCTAAAGCATTTGGGAAAATGTTGGATTTTATCAGCCGTGTGGTACGGAAAAGGAATTATTATAATAATAATAATAATAAAAAATCTCCTGTGGCCTTCCGGATTAACAAAAGTGTTATTACACTTCTGAAAAGTGTAATAACACCTCCAAAGATGAACAGGAATAATTACAATTGATACTGTTAGAAAAGAAAGACCGTAGTGAAAAAAGCTAGGCCAAAAATATTTTAACAGAGGACAGTCACATTTCACAACAACTGTTTGGCAAATTTTCTCTGTCCTTTTATGAGCTCTTTAGACCTCTGACACATTTTTAAAAGGAAGTAAATCAACATATATATATATTTATTTATTTTTTTTCTTTTGTGTTACCTCAGAGTTTCTCCAAGCTTTTGGGGTTGGTCAGTATTTCTCTTGCCAGTCGCCAAGTCTGTTTGGCTGCGTTCTCTAGAGCTGAGTGCGGTTTTCCTTGAAACAGGTCTAAATTAGGCAGAAAATAATGCGGGCACCTCCTGCACTGCAAACACGAAATAAGCTGCAATAGTATCCCGTTCAGGCGGTCGCCCAGGCAGTTTTCGTCCCAGTCCGACTCCCGGGGATGTTTCTCACACTCGTAGGAAACCAAAGTTTTCATGTGGTAGTTGTTCAGAGGCTGTCCCGGCAGCTCCAGGTGACGGTCTCGCAACGCCTTGAGGACCGACAAGCATTTCTTCCTGCACCCGCCCAGGAGGAGCCGGTTCTCGGCCTCGGCGAACTGCAACACCCAGGCGTCGCTCTCTGCCGAGCTCTGCTTGCCGTTCAGCGAGTAGCATTCTTTGGATAACAGATTGAAACCCTCCGCCTTGACTTCTGCAACTCGGTTGGGTCCCGGCCAGGGTATGTGCGGCAGAGGCCAGTGCGCAGCGCTTCGCGGCCAGATGCCAGTGCACTTGAAAGCAGGCGTTATTTGCACAACGTATCTGTCTCTTATGCGCAGCTTTACCTCGCTCGTGTCAGCGACCATTTTCACAACATCTCTATAGCTGCATTTATCCACAGCCTGGGCCACCAGCGTCTGAAATCTCGACCGGATCTTGCGCGCAGAGAGGTAGCCGGAGGCGGTGATGAACTCGACCCACAGAGACATGCTTCTCTTGCGGCCGTCGCTGAGCTTGAGGACGGCGCAGCCCGGCAGAGAGCCGTCATCTACGAAGTTGAATACTCCCATCTGATTCAGATAGAGGACGACCTCAAACTCGGTGGGAGAGATGACCTCCAGTCCCTCGAAGCGGTTATCCATCTCGCTGAGGGAGCTGATGAAGCGCGGCTCCTGCACCTCCACCTCCTTCAGCACATCCGACACCACCTTGCAGACCTCGCGGATGGTCTTGGAGATGGCCGCCTTCCGAGATTGACATTTCTCGTTGTAGTATTTGTTGAGGTGATACACTAACTTTGCCTGGGCGGCTATCATATTAGGGCAGAGATCCGGGTTATACACCGGAGTCTCGCAGTAAGCCGAGGGATCCAACGCGGCTGTTTGTACGGGAGCCAATTTTAGAGAAGAAGGAAAGCAATCTAAAAAGAAAAAAAAAAGTCAGTTTATTAAATGGCGATGTGCTCAGAGCACATGCGTTTTAATCATAACAGTCACAGCTGTTGTGCCGTAAACTGCATTGAAGTGCTCAAAACAAGTTCTCAAAATGATCCGAATGACGTGATTTAAAGTCCATGTGCACTTCGGTCAATAGCGGGAAAATGTCTCTTTTTGCTCTGACCGCTGTGCCAGTTTGGAGTCCGCGTAATTGCGCTGAGTGCAGTGTGCCCTCTCGACGCAGATGGCTGGCGTTGCTGTGTTTTACAACAAGGAGACACACACACGCACACTCTTTATTATGAGGGAGGAGTTGAGATCAGGATGTCCAATCGCTTTCCAAAGCGTCACAGCAGTTTATGGGAAACAAATTCATCCCCGACTGTTAGCCTATATACGAATGAACAAACAGTACAGTTACTGATTTTAAAGCGAGGGACGGCGGAACACCTACACGTTTGGATTTATCGATATTAATATTATATTATTCATTTATTGTACTAGTTCGACATTAATCCGTTTTTTTTTCAAACCTCTGTATTAAAAAATAACGAACAGTGGATGTGCTTAGGTTGTTTAATACCGCTAACAAAATTATTAATGCAATTAAAAAAAAAACAAACAAAAAAAACAAAACAACTTTCCAGCCGTGTACGAATTTACATTATTCCACTGAAGGATTTGTAACTAAATATAATAAGGGAGATTATTCTAAAGTATGTGGCCTTAAAAATACGTTTTTAAAAAATTAAGTATTCACTATAAGGTTTATTCCCTCTTAAATGTTTTAAGCACTAAAGGTAAAAGTGTTTTTGTAGTTTATATTTATTTCTAATTCATGATTTAGTAATTTATCGAACACCCTCGGGATGAACGGGATTTTATAACTTGGGCTATGAGCCGCTAAATTTCTAACTATCTTTGGTGATGTATGTATGTATGTATTTATTTATTTATTTATTTATTTATTTATTTATTTATTTATTTATTTATTTATTTCGCTTTTTTTTAAAAAAAATGTTTTTAAAACACTTACGTTTTGTTTAAAAGAGCGTATTCATGAGACTGATTTCTTTTTTGTGTTGTTCAACGAGAAGCAGTGTTTCTGTATTAACATGCAACTGTATTTTGCACAGTTACAATTTTATTTGCTAAAAGGAAATTTGCAATTTAAATATTTTTGTTAAAATGATCTGATTTTAGTAGAATGAGAAAAAAACAATTTAAAATAATTTATCAGCAAACTATTTGAAATCTTTATTTTATTGTGAAAATTTCATTGCAATATATATATATATATATATATATATATATATATATATATATATATATATATATATACTGCCTCATTTATTATTAGACAGTTTCGAAACAATGAAGCAAGTTTAGCAGTAATTCTAGCATTTAACAGTTGCATGGCTGAATATTTTAATAAGTACCCAGTGATTCGCCATGAGGACGCCATGCATCTCCACTTACACTAAATTGAAGAGATGCCTTCCATGGCTCTCATCAGTGCACTGACACACCATCTCACAGTGTACTGTTCATGCTTTGAAGAGGACTTCAAAAAGATGATGCTGCTGCATAGATCAGATAAGGAACACAAAGGCATTTACACCCATCTCTGCCCTCGTCAGAGCTGCACACAAGCAGACATTATGAGGGCAATCCGCTGCTGCTCAGCCTCTGCTCTCACCACACGGATGCGGCTGAGGAGAGGCGTGGTGTGTGAGGAAGGACCTTGATAGATAGGTGACTCCCATTATCATCACAGCCTGTCATGAGCACATTGCTGGTAGCTGTTTGGCAAGTGCAGTTGTAATTTTACACTGTTACCGGGCAGAAATTACAGATTTGCGGTATGAAATCTAATTGTGTAATATGCCAGAGGTTATAGCTTTTTTTTTTTTTTTTTCTTTGTAACGTGATAATGCATTTTATTTCTTCAACTGTATCACATTTAGGACAAATTAAATTTCACAGTCATACATTTCGACTCCTACTGACATATATGGGCAACATTTATTTAGGATACAGAGGGAAAGTTTCCGTGCAGTGAGAGGTAGCTAAAATCCAGTTCCCCTCTCTGGCTTTAATAGTCTTTTCCTCTGTCTGTAGCTCAGCAGGTACTTGGCTTTTATTGAAACCAGACTGGTCTCACTTCCCAGACTATCATGCTCTAAGTCAGATACCTCAGAGTCAAGTTGCACCTCTTGAATTTATACCTCTGCCTTTGACCATCCCTATGCGTGATAGAAGTGTGGTATGGGGGGGTTTCATTGAGATTATCACCTCTTAATCTGAACCATGTGGCTGCATGGTTCCCACTGCAACTCAACCTGCTCCACAGTCCCATG